GAATTTTTGTACATACGTTTAACTTGTTCCGAATATATATATTATTTTGAAAACAGGTGGAGTGCGTGCTGTTCGTTAATTTTTTAATTTATCGCCAACAAGTCACAAACACATACTGTAGAAGAATTCTTAGCCCAACACACCCATATATTTAGTTACATTACTACACACTATTAAAAAGTAAGTTTTAGACACTATCAAACTACTTAACAATTCACGCTGTTTGGGTTGAAGTATAACATTGCTGTTAGTCATCAAAAAATCGAAGTAAGGTATCACTGTCAGTCTATATTATAACCAGTGAAGTATGGTATGACAGTGAGTACACATTATTACCAGTGAAGTATGGTACGACTGTCATTACACGTCATTAGCAGTGTTAGATGGTACGACTGTCATTACACGTCATTACCAGTGAAGTATGGTATGACAGTGAGTACACATCATTACCAGTGAAGTATGGTACGACTGTCATTACACGTCTTTAGCAGTGTTGGATGGTATGACTGTCATTACACGTCATTACCAGTAAATAAAATAAACCAACTGAATGATTAAATAAATTAAACTCTTGTGGGAATTTGTCGGAACCTACGATTTATGTTACTTGATTATTCAGTTGATTTATTTTATATGTAGGTTCCCACAAGAGTTTAATTTATTTAATCATTCAGTTAGCTTATTTTATTTGTAGGTTCCGACAAAGATTTATGTTACTTGATTATTCAGTTGATTTATTTTATTTGTAGGTTCCCACAAGAATTTGATTTATTTAATCATTCAGTTAGCTTATTTTATTTGTGGATTCTAACAAAGGTTTATGTTACTTGATTATTCAGTTGATTTATTTTCTATGTAGGTTCCCACAAGAGTTTAATTTATTTAATCATTCAGTTGGTTTATTTTATTTGTAGGTTCCGACAAAGGTTTATGTTACTTGATTATTCAGTTGATTTATTTTCTATGTAGGTTCCCACAAGAGTTTAATTTATTTAATCATTCAGTTGGTTTATTTTATTTGTAGGTTCCGACAAAGGTTTATGTTACTTGATTATTCAGTTGATTTATTTTCTATGTAGGTTCCGACAAAGATTTATGTTA